CCTAGTTCTACGTACTGTAATTATCAATTTTTTAGATAGGAAAAACCGAAGTGAGGAATTTGTTAATAACTATATTTTATTTTTCTAACATATATCCAAAATTGCTAAATTTCATTGGTTTCAGACATATTCCGACCTTCCGAAATATTCCGCCTGCACAGTGGCCCATCCCTACGTAGAACAAGCTTCTAATTTCATACTGTAGATAATTTCGACAAAAACAGTGAATACAATGAATAGACCATTTTAATTTTCATAAGCAATTTGAAATTAGCGTTAGACCCGATATTCACAAATTTAGCGTGGATCCCAAGTACATACAGTACGTTCGTACGTACAAAATCATGCGATTAATGTTTCAGACGAAATCTAAATATTTCGTCCAATCCGAATCCGAAATATGGGCGATATTAGTTTCGCCCAGCATTTAAAATTTCTGAAACTTCCGATAAGATCCGTAATTACCTAAAATCCGAATTCAATCCGAAATATCAGGAGAGATCGTCATAGTCACAGATCACCCGAATCCTTCCGACCAATCAAAGTTCAGTATCACATGCCGATCAGTAAATCAGTTAATAAGCTATGAAATACGAAATGTATTAAGCAAATCTTAGAGTTTTTATAATATATTTTAATATCAGTTGAATCCATTTGAATCCAACAATTTCTATATTACGTTTCACCTAGCAAAGTTTATACAAGAAATATAAGAAAATAGGCGTTGAGTGAATGCTAAACCACTAGATCGTCAAGTTTCAGTTCGCTAAGCAATAAAAAAGTTGAAATAACAAATATATATATATGTTATATTATATGAGTGTCGCTAAAAGAAAACCCGACAATTGAAATATGACTTATATTTAAATTGTCGGGTTTTCTTTTAGCGACACTCATATGTTGGCATATACTTTAAAAATATTTTAAATAAATATATTACGTAATAATTTTTTTACTAATTTTTTATGTAATTTTTAGATTATGAGAAACATGTACTTGTATAGTTGAGATTTGAGCTGCGTATATTTTTTAGAATGCAAATATGTACGTATTATACTAGTAAAATAATAGTCAAATTATAAATGAGAAGTTTGGTTTTATAGAAGCGAAATAGAGATTTTTTTATAATTAAATAATTAATAGTTAATTAGATAATTGAATACATAAAGACACACATGTCTATATTGTAGTAATGTTTAAGGTATTTTTGTAATGTTTAAGATATTTTATTCTAAAGTTAAAATATAAATTTTAATAATTTTAATTCAAATCTCGTTCCAGATCAATACTATCCTTAAAATTCGTAATTTTGATTGGTTGGGATGATCTCGGAAGTGATCTGAAATATTCGGAATTGTCCGAAACTGCAATAAGCATGTGATAAATAGCATTTGTCAGGGGCATACTGTATCTCATTTAATTCGCGAATAATTTTTTCATTTACAAATCATACCTTATATCGGCCCAGAGGCTTTGTTAGATCAAAAAATTACACCAGCTAATATTTATGGATTTGATATTATAATGGTGGCAATGTTATCAGGAAGAAGACCTTTTGGTGGCTATGAATCTGATAAAATTTGATATTGGCAAGCTATAAAGGTTTTCAATTGATTTCCGATTGCCACATTTGCTAATTGATGTATGATCTTATTCCGTTCCACAAGAACAACCTTATTACGTAATTCTTTGTTTGATGTTATTCATAATCAAAAATATGTTTATTAATTGAATTGTGTGTTATTCGAATTACCGATGGAAAACCTCAGAAGTAAAAATTCGTCCGATTGATTGATGATATTTCATGCACCATGACAAAATAGATTGGCAGTCTTTATTTATTTATTTATTTAAATATTAGGATTTCGGGGTTTTTGAAATGAAATAATTTTCCGATGGTAAAAGATCCTAATTAAATCGGCTTAGTTTTTAGGGCACATTCGAGTTTATGGTAAATTTAGTGAGTTCGTGTTGTTAACACCATTTTTGTCCCACCCTATATGTGTCTATCCATCTTCTGAATGCATATGGTTTATGCATTTACTAGTTCACGTTAAATGACAAATTGAACATAATGAGAATTAATTGGCTAATAATCGCGTGTATATCAAAGCAAAAACTAGCCAATTAGACTATCAGAAGTATGGATTTATATCAGATTTTTGACTTGTTTCGAAATTTAGGATTTTAATTTCAGATCGCCTGTAAAATCTGAAATACTTCGGAAGTGAAAAAACTATTTCGCTCGAAACATTTGATAGGTATTCCTTGTTTTTTTTTTTAAAAAAAAAAAAATTAACGTCAGTAGACGATTGGAAACAACGAGAATCTTATGCAAACATAACGATAAGAACGATAAGAACAGAATAATTTCATTTAATATTTTAATAATAGACAAATATATACTATAAATCTTTGCTAATTAATAAAAATAAGATCTTATAAACCGTTACATGATTGTACAAAGAATTCGAATGCCTCTGACTTTTTCTTTTTCTATCTCTTTCTCAAGTTCATTTATTCTTTCTTCTTTTTTCTTCGCTTCCTGATTGGACAATTCCTTCATTTCTTTTAATTCTTTTTCTAGCTTCACCTTTTCCTCAAAATGTACAACCAACTTTTCGCTTATTTGTTTTAGGTTAGGAGGATCATATTTTTCGCAACTAGGAATAAAACTTTCTATTATTTTTTTTCTTGAATATTCTCGCACTTCTCTGTTTGATTCAATGGATCTAGGAAATCCCGTTAAAGGCGGATTATCTACAAAAATGATATCTTTACATTCCTTAATTATTTTGGAAAATTCTGGATTTGTCTTTGCCAAGTTCTTTTCCTCTTTTTTGCATTCTTCTTCATCTAAAAAATCTGGAAACTTGGTACGAATAATTGTCGTGAAGTGAACGAATTTGTGATCAAAAATCGTCTCCTTCATCGTATAATACATCTTTACTTCCTCTTCCGTAAACCTGTCACCTGTTACTAATAAAATTCGGTATAGACCTCCTTCTATCATTCTACAGGTATCAGATAATTCGCTCATTGCTTTCTCTTTTGTCATAAGTGTATCACAAAGGCCAATTGTATCAATTACTTGATATTTTGTCCCATTTTCTTCAAAAATTTCTTTCTGTGTTGATTTTGTTAAGCTACCACTTGAACTGCTTACTGCAAATTGTTTGTCCTTTTTAACCAAAACATTGGCTATAGTAGACTTGCCACCTCCAGTTCTGCCGATAAGCAATATATTTTTAATTTCTTTCTTTTCTTTTCTTTCTTTCCTTTCTTTTTTTTCTTTCTTATCTGTCGCCGGTATTTCTTCAAAATCTTCAAAGGACATTTAGAAAAATGGATATAAAAAAAAAAGATACGATGAAGTTTGGTTTTTTTTTGTAAACAAAGATAAAGTCGCTACTGAATAAGGCGATATTTAGCTCCATACTATGTATTGAAATATATCTATTTTATAATAAAGTGTACTATGTGTATATAAAGGTTTGATAAATGATCCATTAAAATGATTACGCAGATACATATGATTTAACGAATATTGATATCAATTTAACAAATTTTTTGATATCAATGATGATATATTAACTCATGATTGCCAATATCAACGGTATAATGAATAATTGTGATAAATTTACACTAATATATACTCTAGTTTATTTAGAGATTTAAAAGCGTTAAACAACCAATTGTTTATTAAAAATAATCTCAGATCTCTTATATACTTAAGGTTACATATAACAAGATAGTTAGTTCATAACAAAGAGAATATTAAACATTCTAGCCAATTAACAGTATTTAAAAAATAAAAGAAATAAAAAAAGGCTAAATACTGTTATAATAAATACGACACTATCAAAAAGCTAATTAAATTTTATAAAATTTTTATAATATAAGAAAATACTAACTAAATAATTTGATATATCTATGATAAATATATTTATCTATTTATACTAAAGTTTACTAAAATTTTATTAAAGAGTAAATTTATTTATCGCACATCAATTATTGTCTCAGTATCAAACGTTTATAATCCTCACGAACAAAATGACCATTCAGGGCCAGATAAATTATAATCCCAAATAGTCGTCTTGTTAGCAAAAATATCATTTATCATATATCATAAATTTTCACTTCAACTTGAAGTGAAAGTTTGGGTCACTATATGTTGTGGCAGGAGCACACCCAAACTTCGGGGGTCCACTCTGATGTAATCATCGTTTATCATAGATATAGAATAAGGCCGCTTGAAGTTAAAATTTCGTTTGTTATTTTTTTTCAAGTTCACGGAGGGAGGGGAGAAAATCAAACAATCATAAATAATAAACATATAGTGTACCAAAAAATCCAGAATATAACCAAAAATTTCAATCACCATGCTGACCATTATACTGACTAATTTGTCACTTTGATTTGTTTAATTTTAGGAGGATGGAGGGGAATAACGTTAAATGAAAGCTTAATTTCAAGCGGCCTAACTGAGTGCATCTAGTTGGCGTGGAAATGAATGCAAATAAGTGGCGTGCTAAGTTTAAAAATTGAGAACATTTAACAATTTAATTATCAGGGAGTTAGTATAAAATTCTATTAAACAGTAAGTATAATAAGAAAATAAATTTA